AGTTTGGATCAGATCCTTCCCTGGAACACGCTCATCATTGCGCTGGGGCCATCTGATCTGTAGGACGATGCGGGGTGGGTGCAGGGTGTGTATAACCCAGAGCAGTGCATGAGGAGCAGACTTCTTAGCCAGGGAGTCAGTGATGAGCTGCCCTGTGGGACAGGAGTCCAACATGTTATGGACGGCTGTAAGGGTCAAGGTCAGGGACCGTGATGACAAAGTATAGATCCAGGGGTGGGGCAGCAGGCAATGGGTATGCAGAGTGTGGGCCTATGTCCCTACTGCTTTCCTCTCTGTAGCAGGAAGCCCTGTGCTGGGACACGGGCCTGTGAGGCAGGCATAGAACCTAGAATCCAGACAGCAAAAGAAACACAGACAGGGCATCCTGCAGGTTAAGCAGAGGTGGGGGACCCAAGCCAGAGAGGAAACTTCTCGAAGCAGTTGGCTGGTGCTCCTCCTAGCATCAGAACAATTTTCCGGCACTGGAATCAAAGAGGTGATGGGTGCAGAGCCCAAATGATACAGAGGGATGTTTTCCACAGAGTAAAGCCTCCATTCAGCACCGAAGAAGAAATATGACTGGAAACTTTAAAACCACAGGGATGGGATGGGGAAGGGGGCGGGATGGGGTAGGAGTAGATGGTACTGCAGTCACGCCTGCCAGCAACTCATTGAGAATAAAATCCTGAATGCAGAGTTTATGGTGTCTGTCTCCATCTTGGAAGCCTAGCCCGGGAAAAGGGGAGGAACTAAGGAGGGGTGCTGGGCGTCGCCTGAAAAGGAAACGGTGTTTGAGTTGGCCCATATTCCCTTAAGACGTGTGCATCCACAGAAGAAATTCCCAAGTATTTCCCCACCTCTACTCCTATTGCGGAAACTCTAGTGGCACAGTGGTTAAGAGCTACAGTTGCTAACCAAAAGGTCAGCAGTTCAAATCCATCGGGCGCTCCTTGGAAACCCTATGGGCCAGTTCTACTCTGTCCTATAGGGTCACTATGAGTTGGAATCAACTTGATGACAACAGGTTTGATTTTCTGGTTTTACTCCTATTGGGGAGCCCTGGTGGTGTAGTGGTTAAGAGCTTGGCTGCTAACCAAAAGGTTGGCACTTTGAACCCACCAGCTGCTCCTTAGAAACCCTATGGGACAGTTCTATTGGAAATGAAGGCCTATGATCGTGTCTGGTGCTTGTTGGTGTGATGCAGTGGTTCTCAACAGGGAGCGAGTTGGCCCCCAGGGAACACATGGCAATGTCTAGAGACATTTTTGGTTGTCACTACCACTGGGTGTGGGGTGTGATACTGGCATCTAGTAGGTAGAGGCCAGGGATGTTGCTAACCATCCTACAAGGCACAGGACAGCCCCCCACAACAAAGAATTATTCAACCCCAACATCAGTAGAGCTAAGGTTGAGAAACCCAGGTCTGGTGTGATGTGAAGGCTCTTTGTAGATGGCAGTGGCTTAGTCCCTCCACCTATCACCTTAGTGGAGGAAAGAGTGGGGAGGGGTCACGGCTAGTCTGTTACCCCTCACTGGTGGCCAAACACAGAAGAGGGGCTGGTGAGAATGCAAAACATCTGGGCGTGGGAATGAGCTCAAAGGGAGCGTCAAGCTACCTCCCAAGGTAGATGGAGGGATAAGGGCAGAGTTTTTCTCTTCAAGTCAACTCTTACTTATTTAAAAACTGATTTCCTTAAGCACATAATTATATGCTTATTTCCCTAAGGAACTCTTGAGGCAGAGGAGAGCTGCTTAAAATTATGGGGACGCAGGCTGCACACAGGGCTTTAATGGGGTTAGAAAAATTTTCTGCCTCCTGCGAAGCAGCTTGAGGGGAAGGAGAGGCAAAAAATGTGGAGGATGTGGGGAAGACGGAGGAGACAGGAAGAGAGAACGGGTGGCTGTGTGGCCCCCAGCAGGTCAGGATCAGAGCAGAGACTTGAACTTCAAGCCTCACACCTCTCTTCTCTCATTCTTGTAGGTCCTTAGAATGGGGGGAAGGGGTCCAGGGAGTAAGCCATTCACATCCTTCCTACTTCACCTCCTTCAGATGAACACACAGACACACACACACACACACACACACAGACACACAATCGCTTTGGGAGATGCTCTGTTTTGCATCAAGAAACAGAATTGAGGGGACGGGAGGGAAGGGGAAAGAGAATATTTGTTTAGCTAGTATTGACTTCCTGTTTATGGGGATGGAAAATATGGCAATGGATGTTGATGACGGTTGTACCTGATTGATATAATTGGTTTCATTGAACTGTATCAGTGAAAAATGTTGAATTGGCAAATATTGTGTTATCTGTATTTTCATAATAATAATTATAAAAAGAAACAGAATTGGGCCATGCTGCTGGGAGAGGAATGGATGGGGGTGGGCAGGTGGATGGAGCTTTTGGTGGGAGGTTTCACTGTTTCTTCTCTGCTTACTATTTCTCATTCTTCTGTTGCAACCTGGATGCCTGGAATTGTGGGTTTCTTCTCTTTGGCAGGAGTCCCTGGGTGGTGCAGTTAATGGCACTTGGCTGGTAACTGAAAGGTTGGCAGTTAGAGTCCACCCAGAAGTGCCTTGGAAGAAAGGCCTGGTGATCTATTTCTGAAAAATCAGCATTGAAGACACTACAGAACACAGTTCTACTCTGACACACATAGGGTTGCCATGCATCGGAAGAGACTCAATGGCAACTGGTTTGGTTTTTCCTTTGGGAGATGTCCTCACCTGGTTAGGCTAGGTGGGGCCAGGGAAAAAAAATGAAGGATGTGATTATTCAGAGTTGACACAGACAGGAAAAGAGGGCCTTTAAAGCCTCTTTCTTTCTTTTCCCTTAGATTGGCTGATGTGTGTTTTGTATGAGCTGGATGGGGGTGAGCTGAATGGGCGGTAGCTGGAGAAAGGAAGAGTGAGGAGTGGGTGGCTTAGGTCTGGTTCTTGTCTAGGCTGTAAGAGATGGGGTCTACAGGGGAGCCCTTGACACCTCTGTCCTCTATGTCTCCACTGTCCCCTGAGTGCGAGTTTCCCACAGTACCCATTCTATGTGGCTGGCCACTACCTGTGCCTGTCTTCTCCAGGAGGCTGTAGGCCCTGAGAGCTGGACTCACATCTCATTCAGCTGGGTGGCCTCTGTATCTAACAGAGTCTGGCACAGAGGCACTCCATACATATTTCATGATGAATTTCTACCTTATCCAGCCCAGCTTGCCATAGCAGAAGAGTGGACAGGAACACAGGCAGAAGCTGCAGCATGGAGTCCATTTGGTCCATCCATCCCATCTCTCAGAAGCCATAAGAGTGTTGGTGGTGATGGCGGGATGGGGTCCAACAGGGGAGAAGTGAAGGTAACATCTGAGAAATCTGGCCAACGCTTATAGCCACAAAGGTCTTCAGTTAATTATCAGATAACTGCTCTGGATAACCACCCAGGCTAGCTCAATTCCAGCATTCCTTGGCCTGAGGTTGTATGGGACAGTGTAACACTATAATGGGTTGGAGGTCCCAGCTGAGA